TGTGTGTGTGTGTGTGTGTGTGTGTGTGGCCTTTTCTTATCACACAGGGGAGCAAGACACTTTTGTCACTTTGGCTTCACTTTTGGGGAGTAGTCAGGTCGTCCATCTTTAAAAAAGTCTACACAAATTTCTTTTCTCCATCTTTGTTGTGTATCTTTGTCATTTCTGGGCCTCAGGCAGCAACAAGTCAAAATAATGTGAAGAAACTGCTTCATTTATTAGTTTCATTGCTGCAGAACACTCTAATAATAAAACGTGCTCTGTCTCTTTGACCGGGCCGTAATAGTGACATGTTTTGTTTTCTGGGGTGGTTGAAGGGGGGGCGGGGGCAACTTCTCGGTCCAGTTGTCATCACTTCCTTCTTATCTCCCTGCGACACAGATGCTGCCCTCTCAGGTCAGACTCCCTCCATCCTGGTGTATCTGTTTCATTTCCTTTTCTCACATCTCCATTCATCGCCTCATCTCTGTTCAATCCACTGAACCAAATACTGATTATGTTCTTGTAAGTAGCTGCAGAAGTGTTGGAAGTTACCTGTCCTGTCAAAACGTCTGTCTGATAGCTCCCTTCACTGCTCCGCTGCACGCAAACAGGGAAAATTAGGTCTTAAATCAGACTGTGAATACAAGAGCAACACTGGTGTGATGTCAGGTCTGTGAATACACATGTCACTCAAGATGACATCAGCTCACATCTCTAAATCTCTGTCACAAACACATGAGTCATTGGGTGCATTACCTGCCACAGCTAACAAGATCCCCTCATTAAATCCTTTAGCTGCTAATCTGTATGGGAGAGTTGAGGTTGTGGAAGAGCGAAGCGAGTCAAAAGGAGGAAAAGAGGGAAGAGGAGGAAGCAGAGGCTGAAACCTGGAACAGTCACTTTCTCCTGTGAAGAATCACAACATTCTGTGAAGACACTTTGGTTGTTTTCTCCAGTTTGCTCTGAGGCTTCAGGAGATCCTGTGGTGGCGGTGGAGGCCATCTGGCTGAAGCTTTGTCAGGATTTAACACTGTGAGCCACCTGCATGGGTAAGTGTGACCACGCCTTAGTTTATTTTGTGTGTAAATTGTAACAAACTGCCTGAAAGATAGTTTGTATAAAATGTACGAGTGTGACATGTGCATTTTTTGTCCTTGTACTTCCCTAGGAGAAAAACACTTGATCAATACATGTAACCTTTGTGTGTATGTGAGAGTGTGTGAGTGTGTGTGTACTAATCTGTACTACTCTGTGTGTCTGAGCCTTGTCTGACTTCCATCCTTGTCATTGCCAGGTCTCAACCTGAGTTATTGCAGCCACACGTGTGTGTGTGTCCTGAGCTCGTCCTGTCAGAGCAAAACAACATGAACCAAGGAGAAAACCATTACACATCCACTCATCACCTGTCAATCAAATAGAGGTGTAGTGGTCGCTGTCTCCCATCCTGAGAAATAGAGCGAGAGAGAGAGAGCGAGCGAGCTTCATCATGGATTCTATGTTGAGAGTGAAGAGGTCACTGACGACGCCCATCAGGAAGCTGACCAGCTGTGTGTCGGGGGTGAAGAAGCAGAGGTTGTGTGCCAAACCCAGGGACAGGAGGGGCAGAGGGGGTCGGAGAGGCAGAGGAGGGTGTAGGAGGTTGGGGAAGACCCCCCCACTCCGAACTGCACCTCCCAAAGACCCGTCAGTCATCCGCTCGTACCAGGCCGACCTGGAGAAGGAGAGGCAAGTGGAGGCTGAGGGTGATGTAGAGACATTACATGAGGAGGTGGAGGTACCAAAGTACCAATACTCTTCTTCAACAATACTTCATAGGTCTACTACAACATACTTTATTACTATACTATTATAATAGTTCATTACTTTATACTTCATACTCTACTTTAACAAAATATCATTATTCTTCTATAACAATACTTAAACACTAGATCAAGTCCTGCAGGGAAAAATGTACTTGTGAAATGTGAAATTATATGAAATAATTACTTTAAAAGTCAAAATTACTCAGTACAGTAAAAATGTGTTATACTATTTATACTACTACTTTGATATTATGCTATACTGTGTTTTATCAGCATCATTTTTAATGTTGTAGTTGATCAAGATAAAGCATTTAAACACCTTATTCACTTTCACCAATAACAATCCACCACATCCTTTTAGGTAATCAGATACTTCAAATGTAATATCTAACTATAGCTGTACATAAATACATAAATGTATGCAATGTATGTGAATAATTAAAAAGTACAACACTTCAATGTAGTGGAAAAAGACAAGTAATATACTATAGTGATTTCCGTAATTGAATAACTTTTCACTTTGTGTGCGCTCAGTGCAGGTGTAGCTGTTGGGACACAAACTGTGAGCAGGTGTATTTGTATAATGAGCTTTGATTGAATTCTGTCAGTACGTGTGGTGTGTTCATGTTTGTCTGCTGTGTTTACAGGAAGCAGCGGGAGGCGATGAACGCTCAGAAGAACGCAGAGCGAGCAGCTATGAGAAATCATTTCAGGAGAAAATACCAGCTCTCCAAGGTCTGTTTGGTGCAGAACAAGACAAAAGAACAAGCTTAACAGTTTTATTCATATTTTTACAACAGTAAAACAAAACATCAGAGTTACCATTGAAGTTTTTATGGAAATGTTTTTCCCATATTAGTTGATCCAGAATGTACATACACTTACTTTACATTTACTGCTGAACATCAGTCTTATCCAAACCAAAACAGATTTGTTACATGTTATATTTGACATGGCCAAACATAGATATTGATGATTAAATATACAGTTAAATATATAAATGAATTATAATTGTAATGAATAAAAATTATTCATCTGCTGCAGAAAGCAGCATTATATTATATCACCTTGTGTAACTTGACGCTCTAAGTTTCATGTTCTGCTGCAGATTAACTGTGCTCGTCCCTCACGTTACTGTTTCAAACCTTCAATACAGAATTAAAGACGTGCGCTTCACTGCTCTAAATATTATTATCATCCACATTTGATGTTGTTGTGGCCTGTGCATGAGTAATGTGGACAAATGCAGAGTCAATTTAAATCATCAGGTTCTCACTTTTTTTTCAAGCACTCGGCCCTTTAACTGTCTCCCTCCTCCTTTCTTTCCATCACGATTAAGAGCCCGAAGGATGTGAGCCACCTGAGGTCTGTGGGAGGGAAAGTGTCGCTCCCCCGCAAGCTGTCGGAGATCATTTATCCTAAAACCAAAGCCAAGGACGACAGCTTCAACCTGCTGAGCGCCTTTCAAGGCCTCAGTTTCAACACAGCGCTGGTCACAGGGAGGAAGCACAGCGACACGTCCACTCCTACACCAACTACTGGGGACTCCTGTAATGTTATGTGATCCATATGTGATCACAGGGACGATTAGTACACGGCCTTTCGATTGATTTAGTTGTTTGAAGAAATGCAGGGAAACAGCAGGAGAAAATACTCTCATCTGTAGTTGCTGCCGCTGAAACACAAACTGTGTTTTTTAAATGTTACACCAATGGGCAGATGATCATTCAATCCGAATCTGCTGTCACTGCGAAACCATAGAATTATTATGTTCGCTGTTTCTGTACCAAAAATAATGTGCAGCTGATGCTACAGTCTAATGAATAACTTTTACAAATAAGACTTTGCGTAAATGACTGTATTAAGCTATTAACAAGTATTAGTCACATTGATAGTAATGGTTTTTACATTATCTTTTTGAGGTTTGATTGTGTTCTCGTCCTGTTTATGATGTTAATTCATATCATTTTTCATAAGTAATCATATCATAATGTTATAATTACATCATAGTTTGGCCAGTGGATGGTAGTTGATTAATTGTAGAAGTTACTGTAGCTACTTTCTACTCACAGGGCTGTTGCAGCTCTAAATGATATAGATCCACCTGTGTGATCTATTCACAAGTAAGGAAACTCAGGGCAACACACTCACATTTCAACACATTCACACAAGTAATGAAGCTGCAATCAATGTACCTTTTGTATTTTTGAAAAAAAGGTTGAGAATTCGTTTTTGCTGTTTCTTAGTTGATCCTCTCAGAGCTGTGTTACGTCTACGTGTGTGAGCCAAATCATATCTGTGAAGCTGAAGGTTGTATTGAAGACTTCTTTGGCCAGCTGGACGTGTGTGTGTGTGTGTGTGTGCGTGTGTGCGTGCGTGCGTTTGTGTGTGTGCGTGTGTGTGTGTGTGTGTGTACAGATATCTTTGTGAGGACCATTTTGAGCCTACTACCTACAGAGTGAGGATTTTTTTTGGCCACTTTCTGACCCACTTTTAATTTAGATATAAAATATAAAACTGCACTGTTAAACATTGTGAGGACATTTTGACGTTGTGAAAAAATGTTTTCTTGTCCTTATAAATTCAAAGGGCTGTTAGAAGGTTAAGACTTGGTTTTAGGGTTAGGGATAGAATTGAGTTTAGGTTAGGCATTTACTTTTGATGGTTAAGGTTAGGGTACGGGGCTAACAACTGCATTATGTCAATGAATGTCCTCACTAAGATGAGACATTTGTGTGTGTGTGTGTGTGTGTGTGTGTGTGTGTTGACATTTGTGTTGTGTTGTCTTTCTCTTGAACTCTGACACAAAAATTCATAAATCGTAACCTCCTATCAGCTCATCAGAGCGATAGAGCACATCCAAGGATATGAGGTTGGTGTTGGAGGAGGGAAAGAATCAGTCCTGCGGACACCACCACCACGAGGGTATCACAATTCTGCACGAGACCCATGGACACATCTCACTTGGACCATGAGGAGCATGTCCATCCGAATGACTGGGTGCACCAGAGCGCCGGGCACCCGAGGGTCCAGACATGTGTTCTTTGGTGTTGGACCACAAAAGGCTCTGTGTACGAGTGCGGCAGGGACGGTGGTGGATGGAAAGTTAGAGGGAGGAAAAGGAGCCCAGGGTGCAGGGGTTAGAAAGAGAGGGGTGGATGGACAGGTGAGGAGCTTTGAGGAGATCCCTCACACAGGAAGGAATGGCTGGGTGAACCTGGTGAAGTTCTGGAGAGAAGATTATTTCAGTCAGCTCCACAAACACATGGAAAGGACCTTCAACAGGCTCGGGCCCATCTACAGGTAAAGCGGGAGAGATGGATGGTGTTGTGGGTATAGATGTTTAAAAAGACTTGAGAGGAACTGGGATTTATTTCTGATCCTCTAGTGTTTTCAACGTGGCCTGTGTGTGTGTGTGTGTGTGTGTGTGTGTGTGT